TATTAGCTGTTAAGTTTATCAAGGCAAATCCATTGCTAATTCCAAAAAGTGAACAAAAAAATCATCATAAAAATAAAAAACTAATTCCATAGTCCATAGTCAAAAATCACAATAAAAAGTATATTGGGCTCAGAATTTCTATACATAAGTCAATATACCTCATGTATGTACCTTTGTAACAAGATAGGGAAGAAAGGCCTGGCCCTCATAGTCGCTCATTCTGAAATCTCCCTCGTTGGTGAGCATTTGAAACAGAATTGGAAGGAATTCGAGGCATTTCATGTTGACCGTCGTGTTGGTGTCGAAGAATCGAAGTGTTATCCAGCGTAGGAGGAGGTCAAGAGAACCTATGGCGGCTTCCTTGTGAGGAGGGGCTGGGCCTGATACAGCCTGGGGGAGAGAGAGAGAGAGAGAAAGAGAGAGAGAGAGATTACTAAGGTGTAGTCACCGCTGAAGTATGTAGAAGAATGTACACAACTATTGTACCTACTTTTATAAGTGTCTCCAAGGCCTTCAAGTGCTGTTTGAAATCGTCGTGACACATCTGAGCAAACAGGTCTGGACTGAGACAAGGTTGCAGCTGTTCCTTCAGCTGGACAACGTGCTCACTTCGAGGACTGGCAAAGTTCCATTTCAACACCTATTGTTAATATACACATGAGACAGAAAGAGAGAGAGAGAGAGAGAGAGGGCATCACTCCATATAGAGCACCCACTGTACTTGATTCATCGTAACATGTAAGGATTAATATTGCACTGCACACTCCAGCTATAGTCGAGGTATTCAGGATGGTTGGTTGGCCTGTCCTTCCCCCCACTTGCTTGCTAAAAGTACGAAAAATTTAGGCCACCCTATTCTTTCACTGCACACTCCAGCTATAGTCAAGGTATTCAGGATGGTTGGTTGGCCTGACCTTCCCTCCACTTGCTTGCTAAAAGTACGAAAATTTCAATCGTATGTAGCATTCCGGACCTTCATTTTGTCTTCATCTTTCATCCTCTGCTCCTTCCCGTTAGGGATGTACACCAGCGGAGGTGAGGTCGATTCAGCTGCCCCTCCCTTCTTCTGCTTCCCCCTCCCGCCTTTTACCATGGCAACACAAACAAACAAACAAACACACAGAAAAAGGTTATGGGGCGATCATAAGGGGAAAAGACAAGAGGTTAAGCAAGATGGGGAAAGGATCAATATAAGGGGAAAATACGACAAAAATTTTGTGATGAACCTTAGGTTTTGTAGCTGAGCCTTTTCCTTTCTTTGTGGCAGCAGCTGTGGCTGCTGGTGGCGGTGGTTGCTCATCTGGTTCAGAAACCGGTTTATCCTGTTCCCTAGACCTGCTGGGTTTGCTCTCTGGTTCAGGTTTGACCGGTTCCTTCTTCCCCTGATGCACCAGCCGAGCCTGGGGGGGAGCAAACGTGTCAATTTGTCCGCATTTTCACCAACTAATGTTACATTATGTGAGTAGCAATGAAATGTGAAAATTTCTTAAGTTCGGAAGTTTTTACATTTTGCATTCAAATTTTCCGGCTACATTTATAACTTTCATACAAAGGACACGAGAGTAGAAAAAAAAACCTTTTGGAATAATTATGTTGGAAACTCAGTAAAATGAAAATCTCAAATGCATGGGCATAATGCACGACAACCTGTGTCATCCCTATATACTAAGTACTACCGTACTTAGTGATAAAAAGCCGGTGTTTTTTAACTGGCGCAAGAGGTTAAACATAAGAAAGACCTGCTGATGTCTTGCTGGCTGGAGTGGTAGAGGCTCTGTGTTTGTCCAACAAGGCCTTCACAGCCTGCTTGGAGTTACCCTGCAGACAGACAACATGTCACACACCCACATCTTCAACGGGTTACACATCTACATTTTCAACGGCATTTCTTACAAAACATGTCGATATTTACAGCAACGCTACATTTCTCACAGCAGAAATACAAGCAAAATACAAGATCATGTAGCCTACTACACCATTAACAAATTTTCTACACCCATTTTTACAAACTGAACAAATTTCCTACATGACCACACAAACATTATACATGAACGGCATGAATGGCTGTAGATCATGTATACAGATAAGAGTTGCTGCAGGATCTGTGACTGAGATCTTAACCTTTAGTTTCCCAGACTGTTTGAGCATTGCGTCATACCCCACCTTCCCATCATCACCGGAATGACAGCCTGCGCCTTCTTACGAACCTTTACACAAAAAACAACACACGGAACTTTAATTACATAAACACTAGAAGAATCCAAAAAATATTTTTTTACACCCTCTCAATACACATTTTGACATTAGAACATGCAAAATTTGAGCCAATACTTGTATTATACCAAAAATTTTTAAAGCACACACGCATATATTTGTACTTGCATAGTGTACATACCTCTCCATTTCTGTCCTCAAGGCAGGCATAGATGGGAGGGATGATGGCGGTTACTTCAGGAGGAAGCTTCCCTTTAGCCGCAGGGACCTTCTCCTCCAGCCAGGACAGGAGCTACGGCGTGTGAGGAGAAAAACAGAGTATTTTTTATTTCCAACACTTCTTCTCCGCGTCCCTTATACCAGGATTGCAGTGGAACTCCTCTAATCAGGACACCAATGGGACAGAAGAAAGTGTCCATATTAGTGAGGTGTCCTTATTTCAGGGGTTAAATTGCATGCAAGAACTGTTCTTGGGGAAAGAAAAGGTGTCCTTATCATTCCAGAGAGAGATGTTCCACTACACACACAGAGATACAGTTTTCTCTAACAACATTCTCTTGTGAAGTACAGCATGCTGTCTATTTCACCATACTTGACTGAAAGAGACAGCAAGCTATTACATTCCTGAGTTTACGCTTATTTCTGGTTGTCTAGGAGCAGGCTACAGTAGTTGTTAACTTCCTACGAGTCGTATCACTTCTTTCACACAGACCTCGGTCCGCAGGTTGGGATTCTCCATCTGGAGTGCCGTGGAGAGGAGTTCTCCCTCTATGAACGGGACCAGAGTCACCTCAGTCACCCACACATTCAGACACGACACACATGCTGCCCTCACATGAGTCTGCGTGTGGAGAGAGAGAGAGAGAGAGAGAGAGAGATAACTACACTCTAGTGAGAGAGATACTCACTGTATAGCAATGGTCAAGTGTATGGGCACAATGCTAGAATACTTAGTGAGGTAGGCTGTGTGTGGAGAGAGTCACAGAGTGAGAGAGATACACGGTTGCAATGGTCCAGGAATATAAGCCTTTGTAAATTGAAAGTAAAATTAGATTCTCAAATGTATGGGCACAATGCTAGAAACAGACAGACCTTGGCATCGGAGAGGTTCTGCAGGACACCAGGAATAAAGGATCGAGAAAACTTGACACAGGCTGATCCCATCGCCGTCGCCATTGACGATATGATGTTGACTGTCGTAATGATCTGATTGGGGGAAATTAAACAGAGGCGTCATAAAGAGAAATTTTAGCATATGCACTTTGACCGTGGAACCTCTCTCTAAGGACACCTCGGAAATGAAGACACCTCCCTAATAAGGATACCTTCTCTTTCCCCAAGAACAGTTCTTGCATGCAATTTAACTCCTGAAATAAGGACAGCTCACTAATATGGACACTTTCTTCTGTCCCCTTTGGTGTCTGGATTAGAGGAGTTCCACTGTTCATGACCAACAATTATGCAAGTCCGTCACAAGAAATAAGTCACATGACCTCCACCAATGATCACATGACATGTGTCAAATCTCACGTGGTTCTTGTTGGTGTCGCCCAGTCTGGCCTTCAGAGCCCCCGGCAACTCCCCTAGCGACGGCTGGATAAACTTTGCCTGGGCCAGAATCTCCTGAACCTTGGTCAAACCTTCACCTCTGACCTTCCAGTTCTTGTCGGAAAGTTCGGCAATGAGAGAGGACTTTATCTGACCACTAATGTCAACCTGTACGTATGTGTGTGCGCACGTGAGAATGATAGAGAATTACTGAGTGTCTGTTTGAAGCAAAATAATAGAGAAATATGGTGGAACTCCTCTCAAGGACACTCCTGAAATGAGGACACCTCTCTAATAAGGACACCTTTTCTTTCCCCAAGAACAGTTCTTGCATGCAATTCAACCCCTGAAATGAGGACACCTCACTAATATGGACACTTTCTTCTGTCCCACTGGTGTCTGGATCAGAGGAGTTCCACTGTATAAAAAGACTCATCATCGTTACCTTTGGCATGAGGTCAGCGAGAGAGACTGGCTCACTGGCACCACCTCCTCCTCCCCCTCCTCTCCTCCTCATCTCCTCCGACATTAGGTCCTCTAGTCGGAGCTGGCGGACTCTGACCTGACATCTGAAGAGAGAAAAAACAGAGAATTGGTCTACGCAGTAACTAGCTATTGTATTTCATGTGAGTGAGGAGTTAAGTATGTACTGTTTTTTGTTTAGTTTTTGGCCAGTTTTTTCTCCGTATGTCTCCTTATGTGTATGCTCTATCTCAAAATTGGTAAGTATATATATATATCAGTGTGTTAATTTTCGGCTGACTTTTTCAAAAGCCTCGTCGATTTGTTTCAAAAGAGCAGGTTTCTCATCTTCGAAGAACATCCTCAGCTGAGCTCCAACATACAGGTACACTGTGCTGAGGAGGTTTATAGCTGATGTGCGCACTGTGGGGCAAGTAAAAAAAACATTATTTTTCCATCAAAATTTGGAGGAGTTTGTAAAATTTTTTGATTGCCAAAATGAGGTGTCCTTATTTCAGGGGTGTCTTAATTAGAGAGGTGTCCTCATTTCAGGGGTGTCTTAATTGGAGAGGTGTCCTCATTTCAAGGGTCTCTTAATTAGAGGGGTGTCCTCATTTCAAGGGTGTCTTAATTAGAGGGGTGTCTCATTTCACGGGTGTCTTGAATTAGAGATGGTGTCTCATTTCGGGGGTTGTCTTAAGTAGAGAGGTGTCCTCAGTTCAGGGGTGGTATTAATCTTGTTTGTAATTAGAGAGGTGTCCTCATTTCAGGGGTGTCCTCAGAGAGGGGTTCCACTGTTATTTACGTACGCACACACACACACACACACACACAAACCCTAACCTGCAGCATTCGAGGCTCCAAATGCCCTTTTGATACAGACAGTCATAGGTGGCTTCAGATTAAGCAGAAACCACAAACGGTGTGCAGTGCCTCATTTCAGCCAGTCCAGTGATCCGAGAGGAAAACCTGCATAATGATCAAAAACACCAACGTAATTATTAACCCTTTGCCCACCACCACTCCGGACGTTCAACACAAAGAAAGATTGACAAAGGAGGTGGAGGCATGTCTCGTTGATATTTTGTATATGTGCAGTGTCCGTGAGATACAAACTACGTATAGAAAATATAGATGTTGTATGTTCTCTACGTGATTAACGTCGTTCTGAACACGCTCGTAAAATTCATAGCCCATCGCTCGACTCACTAAATGCATACATCAATGTTCTCCCTCCATATTCACCTTTGCGACTCTATGTTCAGAAGAAGCCTTCATCACTTGCATATGGATTTATTTTAAGTCATTCTCTCTGCTATCAGCATCATGACATCCACGGCACACCGGATTCACCTGAGGGGCAGTTACTGGAGAGATAACAAGATTGTACATCGGGAAAATATAACAATTACACCACTGAATAAGGGTGACCTTAAATGCCCCCATTATTAATCAGAGGTGTCCCTTATTTTAGAGAGTAAATACACTATGTATTAGATGGGGCGAACCAAGTGTAATAAATATCATAGAAATGGAGAGAAGGTTGCGTGTTCAGTAAAATCTGTTAGACCTTTGCGTTCCGAGCTTATCCACAAGAGCAGGAAGAAAAGCTTGGTTGATCTTCTCCAAATACCGGCGGCCCGCTTCGGCTTAAACCAACAACCACGGCAAACTTCCCTTTCCAAATCACCTGACAGGTAAAATGAAATGAGACTTGATTTAGAGTTCAATATAGACAGGGGTGCTTTATTTAGAGTTCAATTTTGCCAGGTGTGCTTTATTTAGAGTTCAATATTGACAGGTGCATTTATGTAGAGCCTCAGTTTGACCGGCGAGCATATTTAGAGAAAATTCTCAGATTAGACAGGTGCGTTTATGAGAGTGCGCAATGATAGGGAGTTAATGTAATGTATGCAAGGCTAAATTTTGAAATGTGAACGATTCTATTTACCTGAAAGTTGCTATCTTTCCAGCCTGGTTTCCGTGCCAACACTTTGATCATCAACAGTGACTGCATCTCGTCTCCTGGCAACCCCTCTACAAACTACAAACAACAAACCAACTATGAGCTTGTCTATAGTTTCACGTTTTCGAACGATATGTAGACCACACGTGTCGACGATAATTAATTTGAGATGCATACCTGTTTTAGTTTCTCGCAAGCCTCGAGTCTCTCTTTCCATTTCGGGTCTTCAAAACGTGCCAGGAGTCCAGGCGGGAGCACCTCATTGGCTTTATCATCGAGTTCTTCCGACTACACAGAGAGAAGAGAGAGGAGAGAGAGAGAGAGAAGAGAGAGAGAGAGAGAGAGAGAGAGAGAAGAGAGAGATGGATGGATGGAAAATATAAAGGTGAAGTTGTAGACATTTGTAATCTCAAGCCCAACATAAGCATTCCTGCAGAATTACGTAACTGAACCATTCAAGTGTTCGGTTCAGTTCTGCAGGAAATGGCCATAAACCGCCCTCAAAAGGACATGCCTCTACTGCAGACCTGTTCCACAAATTCCACCTGGGAAGAGACACTAGGTCTCCACCACCTTGTGTGCACACGTTCAAGTTGTGTGCGTTTGGGGTTAATATTAGGTCACTGCGCGACCCTGCAAAAAATTTTCTTCTTCTTCAGATTCAACAAAGCCTAAACTAGATAAACGCCAACCTCCGCAGCGCCCCAGGTTTATATAGCAGATACGCGCAGCAACCCTTGTGGTTAATAATGATATTCATTTGCTCCTTTTAGGGCATGCGCAGTGGCCAGAAGCTACTTACCTTCTCAGAATTGTTTATACTGCTGATTTTTACTGCTTTCTATATAGGCAACCAACAAGTTGTGAACACTATTTAGGCCACATAAGAAACCAGCCTCCGTGGTATAGTGGTAAGTCGTTTTCTTTCTGCCATGCGCAGTATGTATACGCACCATCCTGCTAATGATATTCATTACACTACGCAATCTGCCACGCGCACTACCCAGGTAATGATATTCATTACACTACGCAATAATTATGTCGCGTGCACTGTTGTATACACACTCACTGAAATGGCGGGTTCAGGAGGATCCGGAGCCTCATCTTTGCCTCCTTTCCCCTTCCCTCCTCCTCCCGCTTTCCCTCCCTTCCCTCCCTTCCCTCCTCCTCCCTTCCCACCTCCGGAGGAAGCAGCTGGCTTCTTCTTCTGCGGCTTGGCAACTGCTTTTGGTTGTGGCGACGGATCACTTTCTGCAGCCGGGGGTTTCGAAGGAGCCTGAGAAAGAAGAGAGAGATCACACTGCATTCTTCAGCTATAGTCGAGGTATTCAGGATGGTTAGTTGGTCTGTCCTTCCCCCCACTTGCTTGCTAAAAGTACAAACAATTTAGGCCACCCTATTCTTTCACTGCACACTCCAGCTATAGTCAAGGTATTCAGGATGGTTGGTTGGCCTGTCCTTCCCTCCACTTGCTTGCTAAAAGTACAAACAATTTAGGCCACCCTATTCTTTCACTGCACACTCCAGCTATAGTCAAGGTATTCAGGATGGTTGGTTGGCCTGTCCTTCCCTCCACTTGCTTGCTAAAAGTACAAACAATTTAGGCCACCCTATTCTTTCACTGCACACTCCAGCTATAGTCAAGGTATTCAGGATGGTTGGTTGGCCTGTCCTTCCCTCCACTTGCTTGCTAAAAGTACAAACAATTTAGGCCACCCTATTCTTTCACTGCACACTCCAGCTATAGTCAAGGCATTCAGGATGGTTGGTTGGCCTGTCCTTCCCTCCACTTGCCTGCTAAAAGTACAAACAATTTAGGCCACCCTATTCTTTCACTGCACACTCCAGCTATAGTCAAGGCATTCAGGATGGTTGGTTGGCCTGTCCTTCCCTCCACTTGCTTGCTAAAAGTACAAACAATTTAGGCCACCCTATTCTTTCACTGCACACTCCAGCTATAGTCGAGGTATTCAGGATGGTTGGTTGGCCTGTCCTTCCCCCCACTTGCTTGCTAAAAGTACAAACAATTTAGGCCACCCTATTCTTTCACTGCACACTCCAGCTATAGTCAAGGTATTCAGGATGGTTGGTTGGCCTGTCCTTCCCTCCACTTGCTTGCTAAAAGTACAAACAATTTAGGCCACCCTATTCTTTCACTGCACACTCCAGCTATAGTCAAGGTATTCAGGATGGTTGGTTGGCCTGCCCTTCCCTCCACTTGCTTGCTAAAAGTACAAACAATTTAGGCCACCCTATTCTTTCACTGCACACTCCAGCTATAGTCAAGGTATTCAGGATGGTCGGTTGGCCTGTCCTTCCCTCCACTTACTTTCTAAAAGTACAAACAATTTGGGCTGTCCTATTTTCCACAGTAGCTCCTCCTAGGATTACTCTCCATGGTACAGTAGTATTACATACCTTCTGTGCAGGTTTAGCGTTCTCCTCCCCCTCTCCCTCTCCCTCTCCACCATCTTCCTCGCCTGGCTTCTTCGACCGTCTTTTCGGAGGGTTCTTTGTGCTGGACAAAACGGGCCTCTTCTTGTGGGGCTTTTCGGCGACATCATCACCAAATGAGAAATCAAGAAGCGTGCTATCGTCCCCTCCACCTCCCTCAGTCCCGCCTTCCTTTTCAGACGATTGCTCCGAAATCTCTTCATCGTCTCCCATTTTTTTCGCCGGTCGTTTCTGACTCGATAGTGCAGGCTTCTTTTTCACCGGTTTGGGTTGCTCATCGCCGTCACCGACGGATAATTCTAGCGGCGTTTTGGCTGCTGAAGGTCCCCCTTTCTTTGGTGCCGCATCAGTTGGTGTTGATGTACTGGCTGGTTCAGCCTGTAGTAGTGTATAGTGACAGAGATAGAAAATGCAGATGATGTCATATATTATAGTTCAGAACCACAAGTGCTGTGCTCATGGCAGTCTTTATAAACTGTGATGCCAGAGAGAGAAGTTGGGGTATGTTCTGCTGATGAGGGCCAACAAGCCCGAAACAGCTGTCCAGAGTTCCACCTCTTTTTTCTCTTGGCATCACATGGTATTTTCCACATGGATTTACGGTAATGGATGGATATGCAAAACCTTTGTTTTGGCGGCTGATTTCGGTTTCGTCATGGGGCTGGAGATGAGACCCACTTTTATCTTTAACTCCACTTTCTCTTTGTGTTCCTGAATCTGTGGGGAAAAGGTTAATTAATTATTAGAGTACACGGTGTTAAAATTACAAGAACTACAAAACTTTTGATTTTCCATCGCTACAACTTAAACTTAGACAGTTCTTATAATCTTATAATCCTGGCTTGGAAACACAGCCATATTAACATACGCACTTAAGTATATAGTGCGCACGAAACACAAAATTAAAACAATCATCGAATAGCAACGAACACCAGTGGCACGCTTCAATACCTGTAAAAATTCCGTTTCAAAGGCTACAAGATTTTCCAAGCAGGTTAGAAAACTTGTATGTTACATCATACATGTATGTACGTACCTTTGCCATTTTTGTCTTGTCGATGGCCTCGATGTACAGGTTCATAGGTCGCTCTCCCACCACCTTCAGGAGGGTGGCGATGGATTCAAATGCCGCTTCTCTTACGTTCGGATCAGCACTCTCGATTTGCTTCACGGGAAACAGAATATCAGAGTCAACTTGTTCATTGAGAAATCCACATGTCTTTTAAAGGGAATGTGGCAGTATACAAGGGCTAAATTTTGAAATTTTACTAAAACCGGAACTTAATTGCATTCTTTCACTGTGCTCCTATTGTTTTGTTCTATCTTTAGTAGCATTTCAAAATTTAGCCCTTATATTATACTGCCACGTTGCCTTTAAGTTATTGGGCTTTTTCCTGGCATTGTTGCTAAACTAGAACAACTCGACAGTACAAATGAACACTTGGGATCCCTAACGTGCACTTATCTTTAGAGGATAAATGTTGTTGTGACCGTTTGTACCTTTATAATGGGCGGGCAGAAGGCCTTTAGAGAAGCCTTTGGGAGCATAGCAGCTGTGCACTGTTGGAAGCAGCGACACGCGAAGAGGAGAGTTTCCGATTTGACGTTTGGGTTTTTGTTTTCGAGGGCTTCCAGGATCTGTTCCTGGATACCTCCGAGAGTGGTCTGGACGTGATGGGAGAGGAGGGAGAGGGAGGGAGAGAGGGAGGAGAGGGAGGAAAGGGAGGAAGAGAGGAGGGGAAAAAAAGAAATTTTGAAGTAAGATGGGGGAAAGACAAACGGTTGGAGCGCCGAGAAAGACGAAAGTTCAGACCGAGACAGGGGGAACACAGGGAGCACCATATGGGGAAAGATTTCGGAACGAGATATATAGGGGGAAATACAAAGGTTGGAGAAAGATAGGTGGGGAATGAAGAAGAGAAAGAGATTTAAAATTCCTCTCACTGAGAGGTATGCGGCGTCTGCAGCGTCCCGGAGAGCCACTACGACCATCTGCTTCTTCTCTTTGAACTTCTCAAATATTCCAGCAAGAACCTGAGCAGTAGAGAAAGGGAGGGTCAAATTTTCACGGGCAGGCAAACAAATTTTTGTGCTTAAGCAAGAAAAATATAAAGGTCCTTGGGTTTGTATGGATGCATAAACAGGTAAAGAGAAAATTTAAAAAAACCAACGGAATATACCCCAGTAAGCCTCAAAAGATTGAGGATTTCATGAGCACAAAAATGGTATGACAAAACAAGAGACAGAAATCAACTAAAAGTAACTCACGAAAGGGGCGTGGCTCTGGAAAGCCTTGCGTAGGCCGGTGGCCAATCCAGCTACGATGTTACCTGCCACTGCCACCACCATCACGTTACTGTCCTTCGTGATCACCTGCGCACAGATACATATCCACATGTAATAAAAATGTGAACCATTCAAATATTCCCCATATTATATACATCTTGCTCTAACTCATCATCTTTTCTCGTTCCAAACCTTTTTCAGAGCCTTCAACAGTTCGGTGAAGTCACCAGGAGTAATCTTGGGAGACTGAGACAGTGGCAGAACAAGCTCCAGGACTTCTTTTCTCTCTTTCCACTTCGTATCGGCCTTGGGAAGAGAGGAGAGAATTACATTAACTAAAAAATCTACTCAAGTCACTATATGGGTCTGTGGTTAACACTTAACCAGCCACGGACACACAAATGCATCCAGAGCCTCCATAAGTCCATAAGAATTTATATGGGGGTTATAATACTAGGCGTTAATACTTTATACATCAATTTCTGCTTATTTAAGGAGATGCCCTTGGCGTCGAAAGGTTTAAAATGAGCAAAACGTCTGCAGACGATGCACACAATTGGCAAAACCCAAAAAATCTCACAATTCTGGTGTAGAATTCTTTTGGTAGTTCACCCAGTACGTCCACGGGATCCAAAAGGTCGTAGGGGTCAATTGCATCTGAGGCCTCGCCCACTGCCCCGCCCACATCTCCACCAGAATCAGCCCCGCCCCCTCCACCTCCGGCAGACACTACAGCAGCTGTTTCCTGTTGAAGGTAGAATTCAATGACAACAAACTAACATCGATGTCGTACCACACCCATCCTCACTACTACAACCGTACTAAATGCACATCTTCTTAACGTACAGTAATAGAACAAATCTACACAATCTTTTAAACCGTTCTACCGGTTGAAAGTCCATTTTCCTATACATGTCTATGGGACCTGAAGTCGGTGCTGCGTTGCATAAAGTCACAATCAACAGAGCTGTGTGGTGGTGTACTGGGGGGAGGAGGGAGGCATGCCGCAAATGATAACTCTCATTTGCTGAATGAATTTCTGTGTGTGCCTCGTTACTAGTTCACATGTACGTGTATGTAGCTCAAGAGTGGGACAACGTCTGTGTAGCAATGTAATGGACGACCAACTATTGGTTGTGGGGTGCTACAAACGTGTGAATAATATACTTAATCCCCTTATCTCTTTACTTGTTCACAGACATATTATTATCTTAAGGGTGGGACGACATGTGTACATTTCAATGGACGATGAAACTATTGGTTGTGGGATGATACAACCTTGTGTGCACTCAATGTCAAATTTGTCGACGTAATGCCTGCAATTTCTCACAAATGCACGCCAGTTAATCCGAAATCTCATCAAAGAGTGCAAATTCCGTAGCCAATTTACTGTACATTTGTGGTACATACTGTGGGATACCTCACTTCATTGTTTCAGAGAAGCAATTCTAACCTCACTACAAAACAATTACGAAGCAATTTTTAATGGTTTAATCTACCTCCAGTTGACTAATGGAATAAAGCATGCATACTCGGATTTCAACCTTCCAAACACTTCAGCTTCTGAGAAGTTATTCGAATCTCATCAAAAAAGAATTCATTACTTTACTATACACAAATTATAGGGCTCATCCCCCTACCACCAAGCGTAGTAGAGAATTGTTCCAATACCATCCGCCGAGTATTTAAGCGAATCATCAGGGCTCTTCCTAACACTCGGACTAAGACTCAGAAAAATACTGCACTTCTTCGAAAAAAGATCATCCATTAAACGTCAGAAGTCCAGGACTCAGAAAAACGACGCGAAAATGCTCAAAATCTGCTCCGTTTTTGTGATCCTGAGTGCCGCTATAGCGGGCACTATTGCAAATGTCAGTGAGGCAGACTGCACCGCGATGGAACAAAATGTCGCCGGACTCGACTGCACCATCAGGAGGATCTGCCCCAACGGGAAGAATCCGGCCGAGTGGGAACCACTCCCGCTGACAAAGATCGGCACGGTCAACACCAAGATAACGAAACTCCAGACGTTCCGTATTCCGTCCTCCGTCCCCACGACTGCACACGAAGTCTTCGTTTACATGTACATTAAGGTAATGAAGAAAAGCACTAAAGTGCAAACCCTCGGCGAACTGTGCATGCGCGGTACCACTAATTGATGGGTCGGGCTTTTAGTATGCGTTTACTCGTGGTCTCCCGCTAGTAGCTCGCGGAGAGTCTGACACGGGCCAGCTACAGCAGTAGATACATAGCATGCGGGAGTCGATACACGGAGATTCTATTTGGGTGTTGTTTTCCTATTCTGTGTATTTAATTTCCAATTCAGTGTTTTGTTTTGTTTTTTCAGAACGGCTGGGGACCAAACAGTGTTCAAACATTCGTGAGCATCTTCACAAAGGACAGCCCACAGCGACAATACACGCAGTACATGACGACCCACATCTACCCGCAGTCAGCCCACACCTACACCACGGAGAACATGTGGTTTCCATTGACAACCGATCGTCTCGTCTACGTCTCCATTCAGAACGCACTGATAGGAAACAGCGTATCTGAGATATACGTCATCGGATACCGCTAATTATCCGGGGTCGCCAAATGGAAAAACAAAGAAATGTTTGAGACTTTGTAAGTAGCAAAGTTAGCAAATGTGACAATTGTAGCAACAGAGACAATGATAGTAGCTGTAGTAGCAATGATGATTGATTCGTTCAGTGTGATGATGTCACTTTATTAGCAATCATGAAGCGCGGGAAGATTGGAATTTGGGATCACCTGACACCCGGAAGTCATTTAGTTTAAAAATACAAGTACCGTTGATATACACTTTACTTATGGACTTTTTAAAATATGGGGCACACAATAATATAAAGCTAAGAAAACTACTGTTCTCATGTTTTGCTGATGAGATCCACTCTGACCAACCTGTTGTGATCTGAGGCGGCGGTTTGGGAGTGCTGGTCCCCCAGACATCTTGCCCCACTCGTCGTCCAGCTCCTTCATCTGCACAGGTTTGAGCGACTTGTCGAGGATGCCTCTGAGGGGTGGACCCATCCACCGATACACCTCTACTGCTAGTAGTTTGGCCTTATGGGGGGAGGAGAGAGGGGAGGGAGGAGAGAGGGGAGGGAGGAGAGAGGGAGGGAAGAGAGAGGGAGGGAGGAGAGAGGGAGGAGGGAGAGAAATGGAGTTACATACAGGAAGGAGGAGGGGAGGGAGGGAGTAAATGAGAGAAGAAACAAGAATTAGATAGTCTCTGCTGCTATTCAGCTACGTTTCCCCGCACCACAAAAACCACCTACCAACACAACACCACATAATGTATCATAATACAAAACTCCCTATCATAGCTCCATACATCCATGCCAATCCCTCTATACTAAGTACTACCGTACCAAAACTCCCTATCATAGCTCCACACATCCATGCCAATCCCTATATACTAAGTACTACCGTACCAAAACTCCCTATCATAGCTCCATACATCTATGATGCTAGGTACCATGCCCATCCCTATATACTAAGTACTACTGTATTAATGATACACATACCCTACTGGTACAGCACCGTAGGTACTTACATTACTAATACATGTATTTACAAAACACTAATAATTATCACCTCGGCTCTGACATTCTTGTCGCTGTGTTCAAACATGGACGGCATTGATTTCAGCAGCTGTTTCATATTCACCACTTTCGCTCCAAACTCGCTGCATCAATACCCAGTTACAAAGACGACACGTGGTCGTTCAATAGTACAATACAAATTATACTCTAGAAACACTACATGTATAATATAGTAGCTAGACAAATACACTTTTAGCACTGTGTTAATGTTAACACTTAACCAGCCACGGACACATATGTAGATGTGTCCAGACCCTCCACAAGTCCATAAGAATGTATATACATAGGGTCATAGCTAGACAAAGACAGTAGCTAGACAAATACATACAGATGTGTCCAGAGCCTTCACAAGTCCATAAGAATGTATATACATAGGGTCATAGCTAGACAAAGACAGTAGCTAGACAAATACATACAGATGTGTCCAGAGCCTCCATAAGTCCATAAGAATAGTACAGTACAGTATAAAAACTATTGTAGCAGCACTTATAAAGTGCATTCCATTGACTCGTGGGATAATATTATATATTAGTGTATAATATAGTGTCTGTTGAATGAGAACAGTATGATTATGAAGACTTACGTAAGCATCGTTCTTAGGACAAAGACGCAAGCTGTGACAATCTTAGGCTGCTTGTTTGTTAGTCCTTTTGTTATCTCTTCCTTTAGTGAGAGGCGGAGAGAGAGGGAGAGGGAGGAGAGGGAGGGAGAGAGGAGAGGGGGAAAAAGCAAAAATCAATACGTAAATGTAGGTTTATATGTGGAAAAGAGAGTTAAATTCAAACATGAATCAAGTGATCAAGTAAAGAAAACTATACACAAATTGTCATGGTTACAGTTACCTGGACGACAGCTTGTTGTTCAATTTCGGTGTACATGAGACAGACGTCAATTCCGCCTTGTTTCGTCTTAGGTCTGGCGTTGAGACACTTTGTCACTATGCCAGCCACCACTGCTTCACAGGTCCTATTGTTAGTAACAATTACATCATAATGATGTAATGCTACCATAATCAAACAACAAAGGTGGGTATCTAAGTTGCATAATGGTTTTACACAAGGGTAACAATTGAATAATGTTCATCTAATTAAAGACAATAAGACAGCCCTGAAGAGCATTACATACACATACAGTGAAAACCACTCTCTAAGGACACCCCTGAAATGAGGACACCTCTCTAATAAGGACACCTTTTCTTTCCCCAAGAACAGTTCTTGCATACATAAGCTTTCTTCTGTCCCATTGGTGTCCCAATTAGAGGGGTTCCACTGTATTACATACACACATACCTATCAGCAATAGCAGCACACTCTACAAAAGCCAGAGTGGCTCCGAGAGCCTTCTCCTGGGCCATCGCGTTAGTCTCCACCACCAATTTTTTGATCATTCCGGAGAACTTGTTGTACTCTGAGCTTTTCTCGTCGTCGATTCGTCTGAATAGTTTAGCAGCTTCTTCGTAGCCCATCATACGGGCTTTCCAGACCTGTAGGAGAGGGGGGAGAGAGAGGAGAGAGGGGCAGAGAAAAGAGAGAAAAGAGGAGAGGTGAAACAAGAGGAGAGGGGGAGGAGGAGAGGTTAGAGGTACGCAGAAAGCAGAAAGAGGGAGGGAGAAGGATGGAACAGATTTAAAGAGGGGAAAGAGGGAAGAGAGGGGGGAAGAAGGAAGAGTGTAGCAGGGAGAGAGGGAAAACGAAGGGAAGGAGAAATAGAAGAAGGGAGAGCGGAGGAAGTGATCAAAGGACATTTCAAAGACTTCAGTCCGCGCGGCTCGTACTTTGTGGCTCAGCTTGTCCTCTAGCGGCAGCTTCGAGAAGTCTTCTGGGGGTGGACCTTCCGCCATAGCTTCTGAGTTCTTCTGCCAACGGTCTTCGTAAGTCGTTCCTCTCTCCGAATGCCGATTTGGCTTTCAAACCACGGTGGGTGTTAATTGGAATCACTTGCTCGACCAATCAATTTTCTGCATTTTCGATGTCACGTGACAACGATTCGCGTGTGGCGCAAAGTGCGGGAAAAAAGATGGCGGCGAGGACGATGCGAGCGAGAGACCGACTGGGAGGCGCTCAGCCGCTGGAAGACGAATCAGATACGGACGGAGTCGACGGGGAAGCGAGCGTAAAGAGTTTCGTATCGTCGAAGCTCTACGCGACGCTCCTGGTGCTCCCGGGAATAATTCTCTACGTCTACATCCTGTACATCATCTTAGCGAACCTCCTCTACCCGTGCTCTCTTAGTCCTTTCTTCCCTCGCAACCGCTCCTCATCCTCCGCTACTTCTGATACAGGTTTGCAGCCAATTTCCATTTAGCTGGAGGTCCTACATAAGCTTTGTATTTACCCTTGAATTAGCATGTGCTGTGTCTTACAAGCTTTCTCTCTGTTTTGTAAATTTCTAGATGAAAGCGCGGGTTCCCTTTGTTCCCTGAGGAGTGCAATTCTAAATAATGCCGCCCTCCTCGTTCTCTTCGCGGCGCAGCACTCGCTGATGGCCAGCAACGGTTTGAAACAGCTGTGGAACACTTTAGGGCTGTCGGCAATATCGAGACTTATGTACGTCTTCTCAACATGCTGTACCATACAGGTGTGTGCATAATTATACAATTATATGAGACTGTACAATATATGGTGTATATGAGACTGTATGGGCGAATGTGTCAGTATTTTTTTATGACTTGTAAAGAGTTTTGTGTTACAACTTCCTCTTCTATTTAGTGCCCTTCGTCCCTCTTCCACTGCAATAAGGGCAAAGTAAGATGTCATGATGATGGTGGTGGTGGTGGGGGAAGAAATGTTTATCTTGAAAATTATACCTGAAAGGGGCGGGGCACCTTTTTCAGCGAGATATACACCTTACCACTAAAGAAAACATTGCTCATTATTTCTCCTTGCCTCAGCTTATCCACCATTTCTGGACTCCAACTCCCGCACACACCCTATGGGAGTGCCATGGCTACCTCCTAACACTGTCACTCAAGGCTGTTCACAGTGGCTGCTGGCTCTCAATCGCCTGTTCTCTCTTTACCATCGACTACCTCGAACTACTGGGCATCAAGCAGGTGGGTTGAAAAAAATCATATAAATCAGAGTTTTCCAAACGAAGGTCACGAAGGACAGAAGGAAACTTACCCTGTTTCTATGTGTGAAAGTCTTCTTTTATATACATACGTACCTCTTCTTCTTTCCCTATTCAACATGGCACTCGATATATACATTTCTCTCTCTTCTTCTTCTCCTCTTTCCCTCTCTTCAGTTGTACTATTCCTACAACGGTTTCGGCGATCCCCTCCACTACAAGTCGGCCGAACAGCAATATCTTCTTCGCCACATGCGCACCAATCATGATTAGAAAAATTCACAAAAATACGCAGGCGACCTCGTATCCCCTCATGCGGCCGTGACCCGTAATGTCCTGCGACAGGCTACTCCTTGCGTGATGCTACCGCTCTACTTGGCCTGGGCTAGCGGGATCAGTGCACTGACATGAAGTACGTTAGGACGCAGTTTTAATCAACAAGTGGAGACAATTGCTGAAGGATCATCTAGGTGAATTTCTGAACTTTTTTCTGTGTGTTACACTTCCTGCTACATTTCCTCTCTTAGTCATCATGTTTCCCCCTCAACTCATGTATTGTCTTGTATACATTGTATACAGCATTCAGAATTTGTTAACCTTTTCTGAAAGGACACGCGCGCGATGAGCAGTTTCACGCATGCGTGGACAGGACGTAAAAGAGCTACGCATGCGCGTAGAGTTTGCGATAAAACGATCGGCGCGGGTTCTTGTTTTCTTGTTTTTGTGCGCAAGAAGTTTTATAGTGAAATGAAGACCGCGACTGTGTACGCGTGTGTTCTATTTCTACCCTCTGTACTCAGACGCCTTACCTCTCCAGCGTTTGGGACACGGAAAACCGACCGATTGATCGCGCAGTCTCGCGTATTACTTAGACGCGGCAGCGCTCCACGCCGTCCGTCGTACCGTTTTCCGACTGCTAAGACGACGAACGCTCTGAAAGCCGACGTAGGTGTGGTGCGGGGAAGGAGAGAAAGGGGCATAACGGAGCAATCAATGGTTTAGAAGGCCGACACCAACAGCATGCAAAACGCCGTGACGCTTGCATCCGCAATCACATCCGCAGCTGCGAAATTGGACGTAACGAAGCCGATTCTCGGTGCTCCCCGACCGCATCGCACTGCAACGACGAACGGTGGGAGGTTCGATAGCACTTCAAGCGCGATCGACTTTCACGGCTCGTCCTGCGACGATATAGTCTGCAGCAAAGAGCTACCTCAAAGGCGCTCACGTGTCCGCCGCCAGGAGATGCAACCCCTGCCAGAACACTCTTCGCATACTTACGATTCGCGCATCACATCGCGCTGATGCGGCGTCGACGTGCGCAAATCGAACGCGATACGGTACACTGGCGCGCAACTACGAGCTGAGAATTCCGCGATCGACCGACTACTGTCGCCTGAGAACGCTTTCATCTCAGCAGTGCTCGTGCCAGCAGACAAAGTCGCGGTACAGGGCAGCATGCTCATCGATGGCAAATCGGCACTCTCAAACTTTGCGCTCGAAATGCGGCTGCTGCATTCACGTGAGCCGCGTAAGCTGGTTCGCCGATAGACACCGCGCATATCTCGTACTCAGCCTTATCTTCTACCAGCGACTCTGGACTGCTTTGGGGCGGGCTCACAAGACCAAAACCGTGGCGAATGCTCCCGGATCTCCCGCAGCCTCAACCATCGTGCCGGATGCCTGCATCGTACGCTGATGCTACGCACTACGCTCGCTCGGCACTCATTGGTGCGAGGCGCCGTCGGCGAACAGCATAATCGATACGCGTGACACTACAACTGGCGGACGCGCAAGCGGAACGGCCTCTCTGAGCTCGGGTCATGTTGATGCGGACTCATACGCAAAACGGCACACATGGCCGGCGTGTTTCGAACTGCAATTTTCGGACCACACCGACTATCCTCATATCGTGTACACTGATCGCTCTCAGTCATGTTCTCTTTTCGGGCGCTTGCACGCGAGAAGTGCTCGTCCGGGCAACCGCTCACAACGATTCGGCGCAGCAAGCCAAGGTACGACTGTTGTCGTCAACGTGTAGCAGCCGCGAACTGCCTATTCGAGACGACAGCACAGTGCAATATACTGGGCGCGCGACATCGCATCTACGCCGTTCGCGTCCGTGTGCCGTCGCGTGGCGCCGTCGAGTCTCCCGAATGGTTCGCATTACCGTCCGCAAATCAAACGGGGAAACCGAACGTATAACGCCAGGCTTTCTGTGACAGGATGCTGCGTAACGCGGAGGAGCCGACAACGACAAACAACCTGGTTTTTATGGCGGTTACATATACTTTTTATCTGCTCGGAATGCATTTTTGTTGTGACCGACACACATTCAGCCTGTGCTTAGTTGCAGCTAAAAAACACTGGCCTCTCTGTGCGCGCGAGGGCAGTGTGCCGTTCGTTCACGATGCGAACGGAGGCATGGGCGTGAGATAGCAGAGACATGAAATACGCCACCCCACAACGTTTTTAGCCTGCGAGACGCCGAAGAGTAGATGCGGCATACAAAACGTCAGAACAATTGCTACAAGCACCACATAGTATTCTGCCCCTTCACTGAATGTTTTCACACACACACATTTTCAAGCAAGCCACACGCCAACTCTGGCAGTACACTATATTCAGCATTCTGGCTCATAGCGACCCCCGATTCTCTTGTGCCCAATGTCACAAACTCGGTGTAGAGATGCCCGGATTGAAAGTGTCTCCCAGGATCCAGAGGGGTGCGGGGGAGATCGAGACCCTGGAGGAAACCACTCAGACAGAACGTACACGA